ACAGAGTTCTAGACATAATGCCATGTAGTCTGGTAATATATTCCAGAACTCTAGTCACTGCTATGTCAGCATCATATCAGAATTATATACAATTTACAGTTCACTTTCTTTTAGAATGTGTAATAACAGTCTACACTGAAGCCTGAGTACTGATTATTTATTCATTCATTCAGTACAGGCCAATGAATGTGACTTCTTGCCAACTTGAGTAAGTATCAACTAACATTAAATAATTGCATGTGAATTTAATGTGTTTATTACAATGGAAGAGTTCAGTTTATACAAAATAACTCAACTGTTACATGAATGTTAAGGGCTCAAGGTAATTAAACAAAGGATATTTTTATAATCAAAAGGCAACAACAGAATGAGTGCCCCAGAACTGTCACACTATGTGTACATTTCCTAACTTGTTTCTTTTTTATGAAGAACTCCATGCAGCAGAATCCTTCTAAAGAAGCTAGCAGTTGCTCAGCTACTGAGGATATTCCCTGCCTTTCATGGAACACAATGAGTTATTACTGTGGTCACCAGAATCTGCCACTGGTCCCCACCATGATGCTGATGAATCCAGCCTACATACAGTACCTCTTACTTCTCTTCCCATTTACACTTAGATTTTCTTTTTACAATGGAGCACAAACATTTTAATTCTATTTTTATTCACACATCTACAGTTTAGAATTAGCTGTTGGGAAAGGCTAACATGTTGTCAGTACTAAAGCAAGTAATTTATTTGACAGACAACATTAAGAATCTTGTTCTGTTTTACTTTCACCGCCCACAAGCTGGGATGGGTTTATATGTGAGACAAGCATATATAGAACTCTCATCTGTTTGTTAAAGAGGACAAGCAATATAACTATGCTGGCACGGGTTTTCTGCCATTAATAAAAGTTCAGAAACAAATAACAGGTATAAATTTCTGTTTCAAACGATTTAATTGCAAAATAAAAATAAGCATGAAATCACAGAGTTGTAAGATTGTAGGGTTTATGTACACAGGCCAAATGGTTTCTTTGGTCTAGAAACCTTTAAATAATGTCTTCCCATCATGCAGACTGTTTTCATTGAACATTCCCCACATCTGAAGGCTGGCTGGTGATATATGACAATGTATTGATTTGAAAGGTTGTTTAGTATCAAATCACACAAAATGATGATGGTGATGGATGGCCTGAGAAAAATGGGCAAGAAATCAGTCACAGCCAATTCTTAGATAATGACCTAGCATTTCTGGTAATGAGACTGAGAGAAACCAAACAGAAAAACCTTAGTCAGGCCTGCTGAATCACCAGCCTGGATTCAAATCATGCATCTCTGAAATACAAGTCAAGGCTTAATATTGTGCATTTACATCTCAACACTGTCTAATGGATTCAAAGTCAACTATGCTAACTGCTCTGGTGACCATAAACACAATAAACAAATTAAACCACTACTAAACATCAACTAACCTTTCAAAGATTAATGGTTAAGAACATTTTGTTTTTACTTGCACACATCTAAGCTGTCAGGTTAGTTGCACTACATTGCATATACACTGCTACAGAAGGGCAATGCAGACATCATAAGAGTGCAGGGCAATTATAAACATATGTGCTGATATAAAAGGAAAAGAAACATTTATGTATGAAAGGGTCATGCAAACTTGACCGGTTACACATTAGAACAACAACCATGTCTGTCCACCCTTAATTTAAGGGAGGACAGACATGCATCCACTCTATACAACCCACTACACCTTCAAAGGAAACATGGTACACTGCCTCCCTCCCATCAAGGCAGTTACCCTGGAAGTGGCCTAGCACCCCAAAGCTCCAGCATGCTGACTTTCTTTGGTCTCTTCACGAGGCTGGGGACAATCATCCCCCCAGAATGCCCCGGTGCTTGTTTTTTTGGGCCTGGCTGCTAGAAGCATGAACTACAACTCGAGGGCCTGCCTGAGAACTTTGTTCACTGTTTCCTCCCTTCCCAGCACAAGCTGGATCTTTATGGCGATGTTTTCTATCCTGCCAGTGAACACCTTACCTGCCTCCCTCATTATATGGTCCTCAGGTACTGCAGTGTATGGGCAGCAGGCCAGCCGTTCAACAGCTGTGGCAAATTCTTGCAATGATTCTCCGACATCCTGAGTCCTCATTTTCAGCTGACTGAGATAAGCAGCGGCCAGGTGCTAGTCGCTGAAGTGGTCCTCTAGAGCCTCAAAGTTTTCCTCATATGTTGTTCCTATAAGGACTCCATGTAGCATGTTGGTAACCTAGGCCCAAAATGTGCTGATCAAGTATGTGGATTTCTCCACATGCGTTCAGCAGTTGTTCTCTGTTATGGTCTCAAAATGGCATCGGAACATGGCTCATCATGTAGCCTCACTGAACTTAAGTGGTTTCACTGCGCACACTGCTTCCTGCTCCTCCTCTGCACTCAGCCAGGGCCCTGACTTCTTTTTACTGTGTCTAGACCTGGAGCTCTTCGTGAAGGTGCTCCCTTGTATCTTTTACGGTTTCAATGAGGCTCTTTGCCTGTAACCCCATCTGTGTTTCATTGGTATTCTCTGTCAGTGCCTTGTGGAGGTCACGCATCTTTTGGTAGACACACGACAGGACATCTTCAGCCCAGCATTTGATGGTCCCTTCTAACTTGGACTGGATGGAGTGTATTGCAGTCTCCACCTTCTCTTGATGCATGTCCATCTTGGCTTTCATTTCTTCTCGAGTGGACTCAAGTACTTCAAAGGACCTCAAACTTTTCATTATTGGTTTTTATCTGGGCTTCCATCTCTTCTTGACTTGGCATCAATCTTTTCTTGGTTCTTCTGTAACATGGCTTCCAGCTTTGCAGTCACTTCTTCTTTCATTTCCTTTAGACTGGCATCCAACTTGGCTTGGGTGTTTCCTATTTCAGCTTTCATTTCAGCAGCAGGCATCCCATCATTTGTTCCCTCTCACAGAACAGCGCTAGGAGTGCAGCTGTGGTCTTGCATCCATCAATTGCAAAATTTAAGTTTTGGACCTGTCTTGGTTGGCCACTGTGGGAGCTGGGAAGTGTTTGTTGCATGGCTCAATCATGGTACCAGTAAGGTTGCATGCGTTTATTTATTGTGTGCATTAAAGTAAGTTTTCTGTGTACATTTCATATGCATGAATAAAGTTGGGTTGTCATGTTGAATTATCCTGTTGTTAGGCATAGTGCATTCAGCTGTATTCATGCATTTGTGTGGAAGTCTTGTGATGCCTGTATTATGTAAAGTTGACCAGTTTCTTTCCATTACAATATTTACTGTATATTTAGCAGAAGCCTCAGTTTAAAACCTAATTTGTGGTGAAGGAGTTGTTCGCATAGTAATTTCTTGCCTAGTCTTTCGTGACTGACTCTGTACTTTCATTCTGATTATTTGGTTTTGATGACATTGTTCTGCATTTATGTATATTTCATATATCAGTTTTGTTTTCCACATGTTATTACTTTATGCATTTATGTTTAGGCACATATTTCAAGTGTGTTTACTGCTTAACTTTTATTTTGTTTTGTACTAAATATACTGTGGCATGCAGACCTGTTGCTAGACAACAACAGTGAAATACGAAACAATACAACAGCTGATGCTAAGTAACAACTCTGCAAACAAGCATGTTTCCACGGCAACAACTGCAGTTAATCAGCCAGTCTGTGAGTTAAAGGACTGCTGGGACTCAGCTGTTGTGAGATGATGCTGCTGCTGGAAGCTGAGGTCTGGAACAGTTCAGGACCCAGAGGAAGGGGAACGTCCGCAGCTGGAAGCTTATACGAAGCAACAACGGGTGAAGACATGACTGGGAACACCTCTGTGTGTGTGTGTGTGTGTGTGTGTGCGCGCGTGCAAGTGCGTGCAAACAGTGAACTGTAAAGTGTAGTCATGCACTGCATATTAAAAAAAAAAACTCCATGGCCTGTAGCTCTCAAGTGAACTGTACTGACCAAGAGACCGCCGCTTGTCGGTGAAGTTAGTGCCAACTTTAGCGGATAGAAGGTGTTGTGTGGTCAGCACAATGGATCCCCATGGCCATTAATCTCGGTTTTCTAGACCAGAGCCATTACTTCCTTGAAATAGATCCTCAATTATCCTCACAAGGCTGAGTGGACCCCATTCCAGCCCCAATACTTCTCAGAAAATCTGGTAGAGCCAGGAATCAAACGCCGGACCTCTGGATCTGTAGCCAGGAACTCTGACCACTAGACCACAGAGGCGATGATGCTGTATCAAAGATTCCAATAAACCTGGTCATCAATCCAAAACCTGTCTACAGTCACACTCCATCACATGACAATACTGTTACTTATACTTTTATTTTCTTTGGTCTATATGCCTGTCGTTTTGGTTCCCTGTCATTATGGAAGTAGTGAGGGAGTTGATAACTGTGTTGTGCATCTATCTTATTAACTGAGCTTGCATTTAGACACCCCACCCATCTGGGGAGCATTTGTAAACAATCAACTAGAATCATAAATAGTAAGGTGGTCTGCTTGTTATGTTGGTTGAACCAGCAGAGTGGCATTTTCAGTTGATATCGGAGGACACCACTTTCAGCAGCTAGTGTAGTATGAGGTAAATAAAGTAAGTTACTAATACCTTTTTTCAAGTTCAAACATAACTACCAATTATGCTATGCTGTAGCAGTCAATTTTCTTATTTGAGAGAAGGTGACTACCAGCCAGCATCTCATTCTAGAAATTAGTGGTGATGCAACTGAAAACAAGGGTATGAGCCTCTCTGTACAATATGACAAGAGTAAAGCTGAGCAACTGAGATATGGATGCCATATAATCTTCTAATCATGGTTACGAACATATTATCGCAGCAAGTTTTAAGTCACTGTTGTATCAAGGACCATGGAAATTCAAGACCAGATACAGTGACTGAAAAAGCATCTGAAAATCTAATCACCACCTACTCTCAAACCTGTGAATGGTGAGGAATTACTGCAATACATATGATAAGCAGGATAAGCACGTCTACTTACAGCTTTTGAAGCCTTTCTCTACAGCTTCACTGTCCAAAGCATGGTGATACTCATACACTGATTTCCCGAGCAGTTCGTCCGGGTTGTAACCAAGAAATTCTCCAATTCTGAAAATTATTCATATATGTTATAATCAATACTATATGCATATATTAAAAATATAAACGTGCAACTTCACCTTCAAGACGGAAGCTGCAAATCCATCCACATACTGGTAACAGCCTACCAGACAACATGATAAAGTAAGTAAAGTTATCCTTGTAACAGGCTGTGGAGGCCCACAGGGTTGTGAGATGGTGAGGTTCCCACATTTTCTATACAATCAGCTCATAGATGGTGGCCAGCTTGTCAGCCACATGCACCGGCTGCCCTTTACCCTCTAGAATATTCCAAAAATATTCATGGTACTCATTTCTATTTAGAGGCTGAGTCGACCCCAGGGCCATAGTGCAGCTGGAAGGATTAGGTCATTTGAAAAAAATCTAATGACCTCATCAGGACATTAACCCGCGACCTTCCAGCTTGTAGCATAGTGCCTCAACCAACTATGCTATCAACATCATAAATCAAATACTACAACCTAAAACAATTATCCCTTTTAAAGAGCTACAATATAGGTACATAAAATAATAACCATCACTCCTTATATACAAAAAGTAATGTAATGTCAATAGCTGGTCACAGTTGCCTTTATTCTGTGTTTGTGTTGTCCTGTGTTTAGGTAGAGGCCTTGTGATGAGATGATCATGCATCCAAGGAGTCCTACTACCATTTGTGAAAAATGATTACAGAACTAAATAAGAGACCAGGGCCCTGAATGGACTGTAAGAGCCACTAGAAAAAAAAAGTAATGTCAGATGCCATGAGACCATGAGATCACCTGACAGCTTGGAGGTGGCTGCAGGCATGCACGCTTTATAAAAAGTAATGGAAAATCCTCTCTGCATCAGTCGCAAGCAGTTTCAAGGAACACTGAAGGAGGTGCCACATGACAGTTTGCTGGTGATCATGGGCATGAATGTATGCCTAGTAATATATTATTATTATCATTATTACTACTACTCTTATTATTTATACTTCAAATAGGTTTTCACCACATGGCAGTGGTACTACAGTAAGATGCAACACACAAATAACACATCACATAAAATAACACACCACACTCAAACAAAACACAGCACACAAAACTACACAAACAATAAAGAACACACTACACACAATGAATACAATGCAAATACAATTACAACTACAATTAAATAAATTGATATTAATAAAAAAAATAAGTATACCATACACTAAACAGTAACAATAATGAAATGTGTAATGTCATGAACTGATGCACCTACATTTCACCATGACCTTCACTTCACTTCACTTCACTTCACTTCACTTCTACTTATCACTTTACTAACCCTTTTCATAAAATTGATTTACAGGAGAGATTCACTAAAGCATCTGCAGGTAGTTGGTTCCAGAGCTGGATGGTCCTATTTACAAAGTGATACTTTCCGATACATCATTTGCTTTCTGCTCATAATTTTCCCACCATGATCGACCCTGCTCAGATTGCATGGTCTTTGTAATCTATCACCTACAGCATTCCAAGGCTGTTCTCCTATGTACACTTTGGAGAGAGCACATATGTAAGCTATCTTTCTGTGCTGTGTCAAGATTTCCCAATTCAAATCATTTCTATGTGCAAATTTTGCTGCCATGTTTTGCACCCAGTCTATCACATTTATCTGTACCATCCTGTAAGGATCCCAGCACGCCTCCCCATATCCTGTGATCACAGCATATCAAATCATTTTCCTTCTGCTTAGCATATCAAACAAACTTGCATTGTAATTTATCCCACGATTGTCTCATTTTAAATCTTTCAATGTTTTGTTGTCCAGGGTTTGCTATATAAGTATCCCTTGATTTGGACCAAAGAGAGATGAAGTGACAGGAAGTTGGAGAAAACTGCATAATGAGGAGCTTCATAACTTGTACTCTTCTCCAAGTATAATTAGAATGATCAAGTCAAGGAGGATGAGGTGGGCAGGTCATGTAGCACGAATGGGGGAGACAAGGAATGTGTATAGGATATTGGTGGGAAAGCCAGAAGGAAACAGACCACAGGGAAAACCAAGGCGTAGGTGGGTAGACAATATTAGAATGGATTTTAGAGAGATAGAATGGGATGGTATGGATTGGATAGATTTGGCTCAGGATAGGGACCAGTGGAGGACTCTTGTGAACACGGTGATGAACCTTCTGGTTCCATAAAATGCTGGGAAATTCTTGAGTAGCTGCAGAATTGGTGGCTCCTCCAGAAGGGCTCAGCTCCATGAGTGAGTGAGTGAGTAAGTAAGTAAGTATCCCTTGCCTTACAATGGCAATTCATTCCAAGAAAACTCTTCATAAGGTGAAAATTCATAGATTAAAAACATAATTTTCCCATTATTTTGCATATAATAGTCGCTGACTTGTTCATGAGTCCCAGAAAAATTCCCAGTATCTTTTAAAGTGTGTTTTAAAATAAAACAGCATTATTTTATTACTAAGTTTATTTTCTCACAGCTAATGCAATGCAAAGATGCAGCCTCATTAGCATGTGAAAGAAGCCTCTCAATTGCACATCTCTGTGGTAGAAAACAGATACAGTGTGTCAGCATGGTAGCAACAACAATAAAGGATATTAATTTACTGCCAGGTCTATTAACTACAAAACTGATAAGGTGCATGCTACAAAATGAATGGTTGTGCAATAATTATGATGCAGTGCACAAATATTACAGATGAAAACATCAGTCTTTAATGCTTATTTCAAATCCCCACCTCCCCATGTGTTCCACACATCTCTATCTTTTCAAAAAAAAATTCTTATGTAGGTAAATTGTTTATTGAAGCAAAAATGAAATTCATCGAGTGAAAAATAAGTTCAAATTAACATTCAGAATTACTAGGTTCTCAGACTTTGTCCATCACCTGGTATTCTAAAAACTAGAAAACACAATATGTCAGAAACTGGGTCTTTTCCATCCTCAGGTGAGGTTACCTCTTTCTAAGCGACCCAAGAGAGACAGTGTCTCCCCCCTTCAATCACTAAGTCCAGTGACTGAGTTGAGGTCTTTTTGAGGGACCCACAAAGTGGGTGTCTCCCTCCTCACCTGAGGAATGAAATATCCAGTTTCCACAACATTGTGTTTTCTAGTTTTTAGAATACCAGATGATTAGACAAGGTCTGCAAAACCCAGTAATTCCCAGTGTTATGCACCATAGCCAGAACCCTTTAGAATCTACAAATTAACATGCTTCACAGTAGCAAAAATCTGTAGATCAAGTGTTTGTAAAACAAGGAAGTGTTCTGAGTTTATTAGCAGCGACCCACTATACAGTTGTATCAAACATGCTTTCATGCATGGTGCCTACTGTCATACAAACTACAACTCTACACACTTCTAAATGCTTCTTGCGTAAAGAGGCCATTTGTTTCACAGCACTGTGGCACATAAAATTCTGCTCACTTCTAAAGACTTATGATTTCTGTACAAAGTCATTACAAGCACAGTGATTAAATTTCTAACAAAACAAAAAAAGACTTATCAAAAATATTTCAAATTTTCAGCTCAGCTTGTCTGTTGATGCTAAGTGCCAACTATCGGCACACAAACTATTTCCTTGTAAGTACAAGACCAATATGTGAGAGTTCAAGAAATTCAAGGACAGCTGGTGTACTTGAAATCTAGTGGCACAAAAGAATCCTCTGATACAGTTGCCTTCAAAATACTGTCCTATGTACTTCTGCCAGCATTTTTTCAAGTGTTCAAAATATTTTTGGCTGCCACCATATGCCACTTCTTATAACACAATGTCCAGAAATATGTACCTGATCCTAAGCTGCCAGTCAGAGCCTTCCACTGGTACTTAAAAAATAAGAACAGGCAAGAATCACACGCAGCAACATCAGAATAGGAGAGTAGGGGGAAAGCACCAAACACAAGGCAGGAAAACATTTAACATAGCTTCTTGTTAATTTGACTTCATATACAGCTAAAACACAGGGCTCAACAAACCCCACACATCTGCATATCAATGACAAATGAAAAATCAGACAACTGGAAAAATCTTACAAGTTACTTGTTAATATTCATTACTGCTCTATTTTTTGTTAGTTCTCCAGGGATATCAGACAGTAAATTTGAACAGTAAATGTATTTAGCATATGTATAATATAAGGAACAATGCAGTATGTCTGGTATATTATGTGATGATAAATAGGCTGGTGTGGAGCAGTTACAATGGCACAGGCTGGTGGTAAGAAAGCAGTTATAATTGCAGTGGTTCAATTTCTCTTGTGAAGAAATGCCTGACAAGTATGACTGTCATCTGACCAGTGAACTGAGCCAACATCTGTTGACCCCTGTTAATACATCTTCAGAGTACTGAAATGGTACAACACACTGATGCTTTTAATGACCCTATTATACATACTGCCACTTAACCTCTTAACATGTTCTTCCTGGGAAGCTTGTATAGCACAGCATACCAACAGAAAACACTTCTTATCTGCAGGTCAGTGTTGCAATGCATTATTTCAATCCAAACGCATGTGTCTTTGAACAAACCAAGAGTGGAAAGATGCAATGCAACTTGAAGTACATGTTTACCCAAAAGCTTTCTTTGAACTTTTACAAGATTCACAAACCTTAATTACATTCACTGCTGATGTGAATGATGTAATGAGACAGCTACATTTCTTGCTTCTTCACTTCACTGAATACTTGCTCTCTTACTTACTTACTCATGGAGATGAGCACTTCTTGAGGAGCCACCGATCTGCAGCTACTCAAGAATTTCCCAGCATTTTATGGAACCCGAAGGTTCACTACCATGTTCACAAGAACCCTCCAATGGTCCCTATCATGAGCTAGATAAATTCAATCCAATCCAACCCATCATATCTCTCTAAGATTCATTTTAATATTGTCCACCCACCTATGCCTTGGTCTTCCAAGTGGTCTCTTTCCTTCTGGCTTCCTTACCAATATCCTATACGCATTCCTTGTCTCCCCCATTCATGCTACATGACCTGCCCACCTCATCCTCCTTGACTTGATCATTCTAATTATACTTGGAGAAGAGTACAAGTTATGAAGCTCCTCATTATGCAGTTTTCTCCAATCTCCTGTCACTTCATCTCTCTTTGGTCCAAATATTCTCCTCGTTCTGAATAGGTACAGCATAAGGCAAGTGTTTAATTGTGTACATTTTACTATAGGTTTAGTTTATGGACATTCAATTACCCCAGTTAGTTTTATGTGTGCTCCACTTTCAATGAGAACATTGTAGAATACTTATCTCCTAACTGAATAATGGGCTCTCCTGATGTTTAAACAGAGCTGATTATGTGATACACTTCCCACTGTAATTTCATTCTTTCTCTATTCCTTCTTCAATATCTGATGCAGACTACCCAATGAGCAAGTGATCCAGTATGTTCAAATCAAAGATGATGATTCCCAGGAATTCTCTCTCTATATGGAAATAACTTTAAGAGAACAACATTGGATAAAATTCAGAATGCAGTCTATTGCATTATTGCATTCAGTAACACTGCCCTTTTTTAAAAAACATGCACAATTAAACATTGTCAATATTGTGTCTACTGCGTGTTGCACAAAGACAACAAATGATCAATGCCGGGACTGCATATAATACTCAGTTATGATGAGTCAGACAGCATTGCAGTACATAGCATGTAGTGCAAATAACACGAAATCAACATGAAGAGAGTGCACTGTAGTGTGCACCTTGTAGTGGGTATAAATCCACGAATGAATGAATGAATGAATGAATAAATAAATGCATAGATGGATGGACGAATAGACAAACAGACAGACGGACAGATGGACAAACGAACAAATGGATGAACGAACAAATGGAACTTGTGAGACATCAATTGTAAAAAATATTTTAAATTATGATGATTAAAAAATTGACTAATGGTTCCCAAAAAAGGATGTATGTTGTAGACACAGACTGACCGACAGAGAGACAGGGAGGTCAGTATATTTTAGAAAAAAATATTACAAATGGGAGAAAACCACACTGAAAATATTAATATCAATTGTTAACATCTGGAATGTATACAATTAAATATCTGAATATGTATAAAAAGACATAAGTTTGGTGAGACACAAGGTTACACAATGAGCTGTGGTAGTTACATGAATAACTTTGTAAAACCACTGAGAATGGCACATGTTGTCAAATTGCATCTTTGATGTTACACATTAAGAAAGTATAGAGTGTGGATGGTTGTCATGTTAGGTGAAACAGCGAATATGTTGTAAAGTACTAGAAAAAGGTAGTAGATCAATAAAGTTCCATGTGTCAAATTTCCCAATATTCTGCACGATCCACTGAGCATAAGTCTCAAGCAAACTTGGTACATATGCCACACACATCAAGATCATGGTAAACATCACTTGTTTTGCTTGCACTGTATCTTGTGTGACCTACTAATTATTATTATTATTATGTGTACATTAAATGAAAGTCACACTGGTTTACTCCTCCATGTGTCTGTGCCCTTGATACAGTAACTTCTCCTGTCACTGCTAGCCAGTTACTGAATCCTACTGTCTCCACATCAAATTTTCTATACTGACAGGGCACGGAAGTGATTCTGTATAAATAAAAATATACAGACAACTGATAATCACTGTCTTTGCCACAGTCAATATGTCTGTTACTAAATCCCTACCATCTACTTCATGACAATGGAAAACCTACTGTGGTGAACCATTTATTCTCTCTCCTATTTTGATTGAATGCCAATTTTACAATGAACAATGCCGTACATATTATCTCCAAAGCATACAGTGTGTCATCCTTCATAAAGATCACTGTAGTGTGTCTAACATTCTGTATTCATGAACTGTACAGGTCTTACCAAGTCTGCTTAAGGTATTATACGTGGGTAGGCTGAAAAGTAATGCACACATGCTTGTAGAGTGCGAACAAAAACAAATAGCAAGATCGGGCAAAAAGTACATTAAAGTACAATTCTTAAGATTCAAAAGCATGTATTTATTTTTCAACATAGTCACCGTCAAGGCTAACACATTTCTCCCAACATATAACAAGTTTTTCCATTCCGTCACTGAAAAATTCTTCCGACTTTTCTCGAATCCAGGACTTGGCAGCTGCCTTCACCTCATCATCCAAGGTGTAATGATTACTCTTGAGGTCTCTCTTGAGTAGAGGAAAAAAATAAAAATCGCAAGGCTCAAGATGGGGGGAATAAGGAGGGTGTGGAATCAGTTCAAACTTCAGGTTTCGCAGAGCCTCTTCAGTTGCGCACGAGGTGTGCGGACAAGCGTCATCATGTTGCAAGATTATTGGTGCCAGGCTGCCTCTAACACGACAAACTCGATGCCAGTGGTGTTTTAGAGTCTGTATGTACTGAGAAGAATTTACCGTTGCCCCTCGTTCCAGAAAATCAGTCACATAAACTCGGTGAGCATCTCAAAACACAGTCAAAAGAAGTTTTTTGGCGGATGGTTGTGTTTTGAACTTTTTCGCCTGAGAAGACGGATGTCGATATTCAGCGCTCTGTCTTTTCTCTTCCGGGTTGTAACGATGAACCCATGATTTGTCCCCCGTCACAATATTCAAAAGAAAGTCGTCCCCTTCATCACGGTGGCACTGTAAAAGTTGCTCGCAGCATTCCAATCAACGCTGTTTGTTCTCGTCTGTGAGACGGCGGCGTGGTACCCATCGTGCACAGATTTTACGGTATCCCAACTGTTCAATAATGAAGCCGACACGTTCCTTGGATATTCCAATATGGTTTGCGATACACTTTTGAGCGATTCGCTGGTCATTTTGAATCAAATTGTCGATGAGTTTGCAATGATTAACGTCTGTGGCAGTGATCGGACGTTCGCTGTGTGTTTCATCAACAATTATGGCTTTTCCAGGCTCGCAACCACGAAATTTTATTACCCATTGATTTACAGTAGACCTATCAACAGCATCATCACCATAAACAGCCTTTAAACGACGATGAATCTCAGTAGGAGTCACTTTTTCAGCAGTTAAAAATTCGATAACAGCACGCTGTTTAACTTGCGTTGACATAGCACTAGAACACGTCTCCATACTTCCGCTTCTCGAAATACACTGGATGAACACAACGACCTCAAACCTGCGCATGCGTATTGAGGGGGAATGTTACTTCCACATGCCACCTGGCGTGCTTCTGAAGGTCATTTCGTTCGCGCTCTACAAAGCATGTGTGCATTACTTTTCAGCCTACCCACGTATTTTATGCGAGTTTTACAAATGAACATTTTATAATTCAGAAATATCTATGCGACAGTTTATTAGAAAAGATTTTTAGAATTCTGATTACAGACCTCTATACAGCCTTGTACGGTCAGTGTGAAAACAGCAATTTCATGATTAATTTTATTCTCAGAGCATTTTAAAGCCTTACAATAATACTAATTTTAGGACATGTTGGACTGAGGATTTAGATATAAAACTTAGAAAGGTGCAAACAGCCTTTGATACTGATGTATCTATAAGCTTATATACACCCAATATCACACATCTCTTAGAACTACTCTCTTCTTATTCTTTTTTTAAAATCAACTAGCTTCTAACAAGTGACCAGTCCTGACCTACCTGTCATCAGCATATGTGAATTTCATATCCAAGTTATGTTTGCTGAGGAATGTTTGATGATCCAGTGGTATCTCTATGTTTGAGGGATGTGGAATTGGTTCTCCAATTGCCACTAGGCAGTGCTGCTGTTGCTGCTGCTGTTTATTGTTATTGGTGTCACTTTCAGCCCCACAGTCTGTTTTTATTTCCTTCTTACATGAAGAAGGTGATGTGAGGACATGACCAGTACAGTGAATCACCTGCAACATAAATTGAAGTATTAATTATTTCTGAAGAACTATCCATACTTACAATCGATGGTCCAATTAAATCTGAAATTCCATCACTTAAACCAGTAACAGCAATGTAATTTTGATGTTGGAATATGGCATGGTTGACATGGCATATGTAGTCCAGTGGTTTGGGCAGCCCAGTACAGTGATTCTCAAGAGCAGCCACCAGCTATTTTCAAAACTAATAAGTTTCTTGTAGAAAAACTTCTCTGGTCTTGAAACCAGTTTTCTTAATTTCTTCTGTAAATTCATGGACTGTTTTCACATAGGTGTTGTGGGTCTATGCTATATAGCTGCAACCTCTCAACTTCAGTTCATCAAAAATATGTACCCGAACAAATTTCTGGACAAAAGTCTTCTTCAGCTGTCTGTGGAAGTACATCCAGTAAACATGTTCCCATTTCCTAAGGCACTGTTAATTAAGGTAAGCATATTTTCATTAAATCATGTTTCTGACTTATAAATGTGGCCAAAGGTATTGCCTAAGATATTTTGGTCTTACGGGTGGGTACTCACCTACCAGACTACACAATGACATAGCCTAAGACCACAATATGAATGTTTATGGCTGTGAAAACAGAGATCACAGGGTAGATTTAGTCATTCATCTACTCAAGAAATTCCTCATCTTGCATACAACACAAAGGCTCATTACTGGGTTCACAATAGCACACCACAAGCCTCTATCCTAAGCCAGATACACAGGCTACATCATTACACTCCCTTCGTATAAAATTAATTTGAATATTATCCTCCCATCTGTGTCTATGGCAGTCAAGCAGTCTCTTCCCATCAGGTTTTTTAAGTAAAACTGTGCATTCATTTCTCACACCCTCCATTCATGGTACATGCCCCACCCATCTCATTTACCTTGACATGATCATCCTAACACCGTAATGTTTTGGTTACCATACCAGCAAATTAGCATAAAGAATGGAGACATGTGGAAAAATAACAAATTTATGGATGAACTGGTGAAGCATTGCTAATAAGGGCTGGGGGTCTGCTATCTGTTTATATCTGATCGGTACCTCTCCAGGGGAATTGGACCAGGTGGAAGTAATGTTGTGTGTGGTAGAAGATTGCTAAGTGATAAACAGAACCTCTAAATTTTCGTTTTCTCTCACTGGCAAACAGAACTTGGGTGACCTACACAGAAATGTAGCACAGGTGTACTGGAGAAGGGGAGCAAAGCAGAAGCATAACTGTTTCTCTATATTAGGTATGAGTGTGTCAGCAGCCATTACAAGAAACAATATTATGGTTGCATTTTACTTTTCAATAGTAGGGCTTGGTTATTTTCAAATTTTTTGCTCTTCTAATGCTCCAATTCGTCTTTGTTGTCTGTGTTTACCTTTAAACTGGACAGAAAACACACACCAAAAGAGAAAAAAAATTATAACTTCAAATGCAGCAAACATACATGTGGATACAATGCTGATTCACAAAGCCCCCAAATTTCAAACATCCTTCCATAATAGCTGAAATATTAACCAATTAATAACCTGATTACTGAAATCAGAATGACTGTGGTATCAGGAATTCTTCCTGCATGAACCCATCACACTATTAATAATGCATGGGATAAACTTCTAAATTAGCCTGGACCTAACTACTTGCATCTGAATGAGATATTGGGTTATTTCAAATCCGAAAGTGGGAGGTTCTGTAACAAACAAGTACGATGGCTGACAGTGACTAATCCTGTCCAGTTGTAAGGCTGCACAAACTTCTCATCAATCATTTTACTGCCAACAAACTTGTCTACACATAATATCACACATGTTAACAAGAAATTAGAGAAATAATCAGACGACAGTAGTGCCAGGTTGGTTGGCACTGAAAAGAATCAGTAAGGCATTTGGTCAACATCCAGCCATAGAGGAAAATAAGGAAGTGTCAAAAATGTTTCAGCAAAAATCCAGAAATAGTTATAAATGCACACAAACAATGAAGTGTCCATAACCTGGCAGTGTGTGTGAAAGGACCACTGTAATGGCTATGTATTCCACAGCCAGCAACCTACATCAAAAACAATAATGCAAATCAAATGCCTGGAGACTTTCATTGCTGTACTGTTTCTGTCTATGAATTTCTCAAGTTTGTAAATCTAGCACATCGTAAAACTCCTTTGCTCTTTACCTTCCTTTTAACCTTGCACAGCTCTGTGGGTCAGGACATTAGAAAAGGAAACTACATTACTTATATGAGATATGAGGTTCTCGTATCAGTGACTATGAACAGTACTACTCCGTGGCCTGTAGTCCGCAAGCGAACTATACCGAGCGAATGACCGCCACTTGTCGGTGAACTTAGTGCCAACTTTAGTGGATAGTGTGTGTCGCATGGTTAGCGCAACGGATCCCCACAGTCGTTAATCTCGGTTCTCTAGACCAGAGCTGCTATTTCCTTGAAATAGCTCCTCAATTATCCTGAGGTTTAGTGGACCCTGTTCCAGACCCAGTACTTCTCAGAAAATCTGGTAGCGCTGGGAATCGAACCTGGGACCTTTAGATCTGTGGCCAGGAACTCTGACCACTAGACTACAGAGGTGGTCCTATGAAGAGGACTATCTTCGAGAATGGATATTCATAAATCTTCCAGAACATGACATCATGCAGTCAGGCAGAAGTTTAGCAATATTTCAGAGGAATGCAATATCTCCATCTTCAGGGTTGAAGACTAAGCTAAGCACACAAAAGGTATGTAAACAGAAGAACATTGTGCTTACTCTTCAACCCAGAAGATGGAGACAGCATGTTTCACTGAAATGTCAGTAAACTTCTACCAGGACACACGGTGTCACAAGCTAGAAGATAGTAATCTTCATAGGCATTGCCCTGAGAACTTCAAATCTCAACAGTGTAATAATTGCACATAAAAAATTAATTCATTTAGGGAACACCCAACAAAAATCACCAATCCTTTAAATAAAATAATCATGCTACAAATCACAATCACTTTTGTCCTGATATCTTGTTTTAACAACTGCTGAACAAAGTGATGGAAAGAACCTAACAACCATCATGCGAAGAATAATGTACACACACCAGATCTGGGTTTCTTTCTTGGATTTTCCGCATGGTGTAAGTGAGTGAGTGTGTGCGTGTAAGTGCATGTGTGTGCATGCATGTATCTTCCTTTGATTATTTTACAATGTTCTGTAAACTGCAAAGAAGCAAAAAATTTGAAATGGCAGATGATTATGAAGGATGAATAATGGAAAAGGATGTTGGAACAAAAACCATCCTTGCCTCTATCTGGAGGGACTGAGAAAAACAAATAAAATATTCTGTCAGGACAGGGATTCCCAACCATGATTCAAACTGGCATGTCAAATACACTACTGCTCTGAGTTCACATCTTAGCTGAAGGACAAATCCATATAAAGCACTTTCACAACCTTGATAAGATGTCAGCTCAAATGAAAAAAAAAAAAAAAGATTGCTGACTTGCATCAATGATTTTTCAGTACAGTGGGAAGCAGTCATGATTAAGAAAGTGAAAGGCTACAACTCTATTTGACTACATAAATACTAATAGCCTCCACAGCCTCTTGCTGAGAACCATTTTTTCAATTATTCTCATATAATAATAGACAACCCTCTTCTCACCTTGTACGTTGCTGATTTAAGATTCACATTCCTGCCCTTGCTAGTCAATGTGCATTTCATACGGATAAAAAAAGAACGAGGAATAACAGGCAGCAGTGGCGACTTGATTGACAGGATGTCTCTGATCTCATCATGGTCACATGGATGACTGAATTCATAAATACTGTGACCCATCAAATCAATCTGTAAACATGAAATCATGATAAGAACACATTTCTCATCATTTACACTCAGAATTCAACACAAAATTAAAATGTATGTAACTGTATCTACAATTTAGAGTTCAAATTAAATTGAAGCCGTTTACTTTTTACATACTGCAATAAAATGATTCAACTTTGTATTATTGTCTTACACAATTTCTGCATGCTATTTCTTGCACGGCCGTGAGTTCTGAAACTAACAATATGGGTAAGTTCTGCTGATAATTAAGAACACCAATGTCACTGATATGAGTGTTGCTAAAACCTTTCATTATTTATTTATTTTTTTTAATTCGCTTAGTGGGGGGTGGAGTCCAACTGAGTCCACTCGGCATGGCGCCCACTGATTGGCCTATTGTAGCCTGCCCCGAGTGATTATGATGATGAAGAATTTGATGGAATGAAGAGTGGCAGGGAAACCAAAGTATTCAGAGAAAACCCACCCCAGTGCCACTTTGTCCACCACAAATCCCACTTGACCAGACCCGGGATCGAACCCAGGCTGCTGCGGTGGGAAGCCAGTGACTAACCGCTTGAGCTATGGCGTGGCCAACTTTTCATTATAGTCACAGAAACATATGAATCACATTAAAATACAATATGCTCACTATCTTTCAGTATGCATGAAGTAGTACATATTGAACATTATATATAAATAAAATGAGTCGGTAAGTTGTCCAGGTTTAAGCACCAAAATATGAAGAAGCATGGGCAAGTGGATGCATATCTCCTATACTGAAGATGGAAATGAGCAGTCACTTCATGACCGGCAAGAAAGTCCTTGGTACCCACTGAACAGGAAACTCAGTCTGGCCCAGAACGGGCCTACATGCTGTGGAGAGAAGAAAATATTTTTCCCCATATCAGGAATTAATCCCAACTTCTTGGTTTCCCAATCCATAGCCTGGTCACTATGTAGACTTAATTATCTAGCTCACAACAAGTTAGTAACAAGTTTATTCACCACCTTCAGAAATGGCAGCAGTCACATCTGATGTCACAGCACAGTCTTAGTCACTGCTCTAGCTCTGATTCTGTTTAGATAGAAGTATCTGTTCACTTTATAGCTCGCAAATCTATGTAGTTACAAAGTTTCATAAACCAAGTTACACTAGCCTCATCACACCCCTGGGAAACAACTACCTTTGTAAACATAAAAAAATTATATACTGTGACATGACACCTGGAAGCCAGAATAGTGGAGCCAGAGGGAACATACATTGCTACGTGACTGCTCAGTAAACACGTTTCCTCGACAATGTCCAACAATGGAACTACTGTTGAAGGACAGTGTTTTCTGTGGGTCTGACCCAAGGTATATAACGAGGATTACAGGCCAGCTCCGAACAGACTCGCCCGTGTGGAGGCAGGGTCGAATACCTGCACTGTGATCCTGCGAGTTGTAGGAGCCAATGAAAAGGGAAGTCTCAAATCTGAGACAGTAATATATGGTCATGAGTGCCAAGGGACTCGGACCCGAGAAAGACTGTGGTGGCAAGGGCCAGCAGCATATACAAAAGACAGGCCCATCCTCTCATCAGAGGGGGCACTCTGTAAAAAACAAGACCGTTACTGTCAAGCAGTAATAAATATCTGGTCATGTTACTGACTGACTGATCATCAGTCGAAATGTGACTTTGACATTGACTTTGACTTTGACTTTGAGCTAGGAACAGAATTGAGGGAGCCTCTTGAGATGGCAGTCAAAGATGATGAGAAAAGAAGACAGTGTGTCATATATTGGTTTGCGAAGTGTTGTAACAAGTTGTATAAATCTGGTCATCAATCCAAAACCTATCTATAAGTCACACACACCCCCAAATACATGAAAATTTGGTGTCAGAAGTGGGATTTGATTGATTGATTGATTGAATGCACTGAATTGCTGGACTGAAGAATGCAATAGATAGCTATATCACTACACTGTGGAGATGGAACAAATTATGGCATGCCTGCTAGCTGAAATAAGAAACACTCAAGAAAATATGGATGCCAAGATGAACGCCAACCAAGCAGAAATGCTGGCCAAGACGACGGCCATTATAGATGCCCATCACTAATGGATGAGAGCCAAGGTGGATGCCTTAATAAAAGGGAAGGTGGCATGTGTGGGAAAACTGGAGGTCAATCCAGTAAAGTCTGATGCCACAGTGGAGCATCAGGAGGTCCCTAAGGAAAAGGCCACAGTGACACATGTCAGAACACTGAAGAAGTGGTACAGGGATCAGCATCTAGCCGCAGGGTGCCTCTGGAAGGAGAGGAAATAGACCCAGGGCAATGGTGGATCCCAGAAATAGTCGGCTGCCACCCACAGAGGGACGACTTTCCATGCAAGAGTGGCATGTCACAAGGGACATGGTCATCTGGGGCATAGCAGGGATGATGTTGCACCAAGAACCCAGAAAGGATGAATGGACAGGAAGAAGCATTGGAAGATCCTGGAATACAAAACCAGATTTAGAAACCATGACAGGAGCTACGTCTAGGAAGTGTGCAGACATTGTATAAGCCCCATGGACAAACTCATGTGCTGCAGATCGTGAAGCCAACAGTTGGGTCTTCTGTCAGGATTAAAAAAATGAGTAACTGGACATTGTGGAGGGGTCAGACCCCTCAGAAATGAAAGGAGGAGGCTACTAGCAGTCTAAGAGTCAGAATTGCAGAACCATTCAACACTCTCAGAACATTTCACCATAACAACCAGAGGAGGATGGTGATAAACCTGGACTAACCGGCATCCTATGAGGGAACTGTTCACGTTGAATGGCCTTAAGGAATTGTTTTATTGAAATTCCATTTATAAGCCACATATAAGCTTAACAGACTGCAAAAATACCATAGGGGATTCCATTCTATACATTATGGAGCACAAGCCTATCCATCTGTGTTATGGGCTGAGCAGTAAGGATTATATATTTCTGCAGGGAGAACAGGATTTTTCTCTTCACCCCCCTCCCTGAAATGAAGAATAGTTTCAAAGCCAAGCCAAATTCCTGCCCAATGGAATTCAGAGTCTCTTTCCAGAACAAGGGCTTCTATTACTACTGACTCACAGAGGTTTGTCATGACATGTCTGTTTCTTGCCACAGAGAAGTGAAAAATAAGGAACTCCTTTATTTCTAATACGCTTTTCTATAAATGTTTCTGTGCAATGAATAATGAATTACTAATTAGATTCCATGGAGCACAATCCTTCTAGAGAAGCTAATAGTTGCCTAGCTACACAGTACACTCCCCACATTTCATGGTACTGGAGGATTCTTCAACACATTCACAAAAGCCTGCCATCACACACTGTTATGACAAAACAGCATTGTTTTTACAGGGAACAGGAAATCATCTGGAAGAAAATGTAAAGTGTCTCCTGATATCTGCATTTCTTAAAGACACTTGTTACCTCTAGGTCTCCCACTTCAAACGCTATGAAACAAGATACTAAATGAATACAAGTAACATGCGTAATATACACAATGAGGTATGTAAGTAATATGGGGAAGAAAAAAGAAATAAAAGTAATATAGGTTTTTATAAATATGGAAGGAAAATCTAGGAGAATAATAAACGAAAACAAAAGAATTTAAAGATAAAATACCCTGAAAAAAAGTCAAAGGAAAACACGGCACATTTTAGGAATAAACGAAGACAGAACCCTAAAGGTTCTGAACAAGCAACTAAAAGAAAAATGCCCAGGATGAACACAGTTCAAGATGGGAACAACAAGTTAGGAAAAATATCCCCCAGTAAGAACATGGGAGGAAATTGAGAAGAGAGAAATTTAGGAAAATAAGGAAGAATGGCAAGGTCTGGCTGCTGGAAAACCCATACAAAAGTGAGAATGTCAAAAGGAGGAGGGCAAGGAGCGAAGGAGGGATAAGGCTAAAATGGGAAAGGGGGGAAGATGAGGAGGGAGGAGAGGAAGGATTTCCTACAAGTCACTTCATACCTGAGTAATCCCAAGATATTCACTGATATTCTCTGAAAGGAATATCATATCTCCATCTGCTGATACTACCAGCAGAAAACCTTCTAGTGCCCTTAAAAACAACGGGTCATTTGTTGAATCCAGCTTTGCCTTGCAAGACTCTGGAACTGCAAAGAAAAAACACACTATTTGATTTCATGTATCAACTTCTATTTCTCTGTCTTTGATGCTATTTTACTTAAAATTTCACTTCAATTGTGACTGCCACTCAATACTTATATGATTCAGTCACTTATGAATACAGAAAATTATGCCTTACTGTTAACTTCAGAATCGATTAAACCTAACAGCTGTCATTACAGAGAACTGCATAAAATATTCTTTTAAAGCTACGTATAGTATTCATCTTCAAAAGTCTCACTATAAATATTACAAATTTGGGCAAAACTTCAGGCAAGAACACTTCTTAACAAAACCACCTATAAACTTGTGAAAAAAAAAAGCCACAAACAAAAGGCAAATGTAAGTAATAACAAATGGTCTTCTCATTCTATAGATAAAATTCCAATAATGTCAATTAAAAACAAAAAACCAACAGCCTTTTATATATGAGGTTTCTGATCTTCTGGTGGTCCTGAATTTTATTCCCTCTGTTTTAAACGCAACATAATATAGAAAATTAAAAGCAGTGCTCCAAATTCTGTCATGTTAGAAAAGTAACAGTGAATTTCTCACTTTCAACATGCCTATATCATAAAACATACATATGCAATATACTAAATAATTTTACATTGTTAATGCTAAATTTTTCTCCTGGTTTGAAGTAATAGTACTCACGCCGGTTCAAAAGACTGCGAACTTTGAGGAAGGAAATAGCCAGTCGCATGATGGATGCCTTGTCTAGTTGCGATATAGTAGTGTGAGGCATGGGCAAAGCCTGTGCCAGATCTGTGAAGATCTCCGTCTCTCGACTGCGACGGCATCGGGCTGCATCACGTGACTTCTCTTTGCGTTTTTCAGTGTTTCTGAAACAACGAAAAAAATTCATATTGATAATGGCCCCTAGTCCCACTACACCTTTCAGATTACTTGTGCAGGCAGTAAATTTTATTTCACTATATTGCTTATGTTGTTCCTATAACTCTATGTAGGAGAACTTCACTGTGAAACTCAAAGAGGCCATAAAAATGCTATATATCTTCAGGAATTAACACAGGAAACTGTTTAATAAAATAAACAAGACAAGTCCATGTGTTAAAGCATACATTACAAGTTACTGCACAAGTGGACTCAGTAACAGAGAATGTGACTTGTATTCTGATTTTTTTTTTGCGGTTTTCTTCAGCATCTTTAAGCACATAATGGAAGTACTGTTAACACAAGAAAGGCCATGTCCTGGCCCCTAATATTTATTTTCCTTTTTACCACTAACATACATCAACACATTGTACATCAACCTCATTATTGCCCACCATAAGTTCACCACTCGTCTAGCTGTCCAGTTACACAGCATATTAATAGTAACTGCTAGAGGCCACTGTGATTACTTGGCACTCATCAAAATTGAGGTCATGGCTACAGACTGCAGAGCCATTGGATGGATACAGATCGGTAACAGGGAACCATTCTGCCCTAATGGTGCTGCATTAGAGGACAAAGGAAATCTCCATTATAACCCATAAGACCATCAGTTATACAGCAGGTTCAATTCTGACTCCAGAGGAAGCAGACAGAATGAATCACTACTGAATCACACATTACTCCATTAATATAAGTAAAATATGCAATTTTGTGAAGCATGGCCGAAGTAGTTGTTCAATCAAAATCTGGAGTTGTACTGAAGACCCAGGATAGCTAAATCAGTACACCTACAGTAATTTTGCTATAAGCCAGAAAACCAGTGTGTGGGATGTAATACCAATTAGTCACCAATATTTCAGAGGAACATACTGCCTCCATTGCAGAAGACGGTAATCTTCATAGTTACTGCATTAAGAGGCATAACTACAGACAGGATTTGTCTCCCTGATCAGCTCTGGGGCCCAACCAGCCTCCTGTCTAGTGGGTACCTGAATTCTTATGCATGATAAAGTGCTTCACTAGTCACTGTAGTGTAGTGACAAAAGACAACTCTGTTATTTCAAGGTACAAGTAAACTTAACTCTTGCATCTGATATTTGATCTTATTTCCATAAGAGATTACAAAACATTAATTACATTAAACAAGATAACTGCCACACTTGTGCTACTTGTATGTTGTCACAAGTACTTCATTATAATCCTCATGATATACCAGGATGAATTTGAATCACGGAGATGACTCTGGTGTGTCCAGATTATTCAATAAGCAGAATAATAAAACTGTTTTAAAATATCTTCTAAGTTGTCTGAGTTAAAATCCAGGAGCTTCCAAACATAAAAATATTCTGATAGGCTTTTTCACACTGAAGGAAATTTTACCTGCTATGAATTGCTATTCCATATGCACCAGGAAAACCATTCAAAAGCCAAAATACAGCAGTTATGAGGTTTGTTCCAAACCATGTTCCACTTTATAAACCTACTGACATTTTACGAGGCTGAAAATTTAAAGTAATGGAAGACAGTCATTGTTTCTCACTTAGGAATATGTTTATTCTAACAGGGCAGAAGTTCATCATGGAGTTCCTCAGGGCTCTATATATGCTTGGTCTGTTCCTTTTCCTCTTGTATACCAATCATCTGCCTCTCAGTATTATCTCAGTCTCTACACCTGTTCTATTTGCAGATGATAGGAGTATCATTATCACTCCACCAGACGTAAGCCAGCTTGCAGAATCAGCACACCACATCTTTACAGTCATGAACAAATGGTTCACAGCCAATAAACCAACTTAAAAGCATAATAAAACAAACCTCATAAAAGTAGTAACTAATAATAAGCCACTAAACGGTATGCAAATAAGCTATAGTGACCAATATATACAGGGATAAAAACAACAAAGTTCCTTGGCCTACAAAATGACAGCCATTTAATCAGAATAATCATGGACTAATGTTGTCAAAACTGAGTTCCCCTGTATTCCTACACTCTTCTAATCCCTAAAAACAGTACACTTTTCATATTTCCACTCAGTGATGATGTAAGATACAATCTGGAGTACCCTTCTGACAATAACACAGTATTCCTTCAACAAAAGAAAGTTCAGAGAATCATGGCAGGTGTGGAGAGAGGAAAATCACGAAGAAATGTATTTAAGAGGTACTGTATACTACCTCTAGTCACTGAGTATTTACTGGCTCTAACAATACAACACACAAACATGACCTTCACACGCTGCATGTGATTTACCGAAGAAAAGTCTACATGCTAGAATAGAACTACACAATAACTTTGCACTAAATACAAACGGGTTACCTCCCAATAGTAAACAATTCTGTTTAACTTGCACTTTATGTTGATTTGTACTTGAATTTACAATACAGTACTAAGAGATGTTCAGTTCACTGTAAATTTTGTACATCTATACCAGTCTTTAGGAGCCAGGACAGTGTAATCACAATCAGTATAGCGACTGGCTACAGGCTAGACGACCAAGATGTCAGAGTTTAAGTCCTGGTAGGATCAAGAATTTTCATTTCTCCATATCATCCAGACCGGCTCTGGGGTCTTCGCCGACAAGCAGCAGTCACTCGGTTGGTATAGTTTGCTTGCGGAATACAGGCCATGGAGTACTGTATATCAGTATTTACTAACTGCCATGGGGTGTCATATTGCATTACATAATTTTAAATCAATCTTGATATCTCAAAACACACAGTAAAACTGCTGTGTGACTGTGAATGCAATTTTACCTGTTGTGGCAGTAAAATGAACAGTTCGTAACTGTACTGTTTCTGAATGTGATAAATTGTACTCTGATTTGTCCAACACTCTTCCCTCTGGGATCAATGAAACACATCCACCTGCCCATCTGTCTGTCAACCAACCCCCCACACATCAGAATATGAAAAATGGACATCTTCTATAAACGTCTTGTTTTTATTACACAAAAACTGAATATCAAATGTGCAGTCTCTCATCAAAAATCAATAAAAAAATCCAATCTAATTTAAAGGAAAATAGTGAATGATTTTATTTTAAAACAATAAGTTCTGGGAAGATTTAACGTCTACTTTCCTTTCACTATAATCTGAGTACCTGACATGACAAGCATAAAAAAAACTTCTGCATGTATGTGTAATGAATTATAAAGTACACCACTGAGATGGCACACTGAGATATGCACTTGTACCAAGTTTCATGAGGCATTCAGGTAATATTAAATTTATTACCTTGAAAAACTGAGAAGCTGCAGTGTTGATATTACTAATGGGAAGGATTTACAGTGTATGCCACTGAGAAGATCCCAGAGGGCATGACACACATATACACCAAGTTCAGTTCATACATTCAAGTAATATCATGGGTATTACCTCAAGAATCTGAGAGGCTGCAGCATTGGTACTACTGATGAGAGGGATTTCTTATGAAGCTGAGATGGCCCCAAGCGGCATGATATACATAAGAAATCTCATGACGACTGGTTCTTGCATTTGATATTAATGGTATTACCTTAACAGTTTGAAAGGCTGCAGTGTTGGTGTTACTGATGAGATGGATTAATGATGCATGCCATTAAGGTGGCCTCCGGTAGCATGATAATATGTACCAAGTTTCATGAAGATTGGTACAGGCATTCAAGTGAAAAGGTTTTGTCTCAGAAATCTGAGAGGCTGCAAAGTTGGTATTACTGAAGGGAGGGATTTATGATGAATGCCGTTGAGATGGCTTCATGTGGCATCTTCATAAAGATTGGTGTAGGCGTTCAAGCAATATTAAGGTCTTACCTCAGAAATTTGAGAGGCTGTGATATTGGTATTACTGATGAGAGGGATTTACAAACTATGCTCTTGAGATGTGCTCAGGTGCCATGATATACACACCAAGTCTCAGGCATTCATAAGTCGTTATGGGGGGACACACATACAGACACACAGACAACACAATGATCACATAAGCTTTTTTATTTTTTTTTAATAAGGAAAGTACACTATAAACGAATTCATATTCTAGATATACATTTTGAAAAGATCATAACAAAGAAAACTTCTGGCAGCTGTGGGCCCACCAGTGTTGTACGATGGGGTACTCAAAAGAAACCAAACTAATTTTTTTGTGGGCAGAGCTTTTGTAGTACCGCGTTTTGCCGCTATGAGCGCATAGAGCTAACATTCCTGAGTCGATAAGCCGACTACCGTTGCTTCAGAAGGTAACGACTAGTTTCAGCAGAGTTTATAGTGACAACTGTTTTGTGTGATCATCGTTTTTGCAATGGCTGATTTTCGTGAACAGCGTGCAGCGGTGAAATTCTGCTTTTTGCTTGGGAAAAGTGGAACAGAAACTCTTGAAATGTTAAAAACGGCATACAAGGACGATGCTATGGGGAAAACTCAAGTGTTTGAGTGGTTTTCCCGTTTCAAAAATGGTGAAATGTCAATTGATGACAAACCTCGTTCTGGTCGTCCTTCCACGGACCGAACACATGAAAATGTTGAAAAAATTCGTGAAATCATCAAGGAAGATCGACGACGGACCATTGAAGAAATTGTGGAGCTGTCGGGAGTGATTTGGAGCTCAGCGGCCAGATTTGTGGCAATCGGGTGACTGGTTTTTCCATCATGACAATGCCCCTGCTCACACAGCCCTGTCTGTATGACAATTCTTGACCAAAAATGGTATGATCCCTGTTCCTCAGCCTCCATACTCATCCGACCTTGCCCCGTGCAACTTTTTTTTGTTTCCTTGAATGAAAAGAGACACGAAAGGAAAAAACGACGGAGGCGCTGTCAAGCATCTCAAAAGATGAATTTAGACAATGTTTTGAAAAATGGAATAAAAAGACTAGACAAGTTTATTAGTGTAAGTGGAGAGTACTCTGAAGGGGATTGAAGGTTTGTGCTTAAAATTTGAATAAATAAGTTAAAAAAGTTCGGTTTCTTTTGG